GTTTTTGATGGTCCTAGAAAGAGGAATTTGGATTGTAATATTGTTAAGTTTCTGGTAAACGTTTTGGGGGCTAACAATGAATATGTGCGGACCTTCAAAACTGCAAAACAAATAGCCGAGGAGGCTAATTTACAGTCATATGCGGTGCGACTGTTTAACAATGTTGCGGACCGTAGGTATGATTTGCCGTCCCCCGGGTCTTTGGGTTGTATAGTAAGTGGTGATGACGCAACGTCTACAACATAGGACATCATTTTCCATTCGCAATCAGGTCGGCCTCAACGTATTAGTAAGCTGCATCCAAGCTATATGCCTTTACAATACCCACTTTTGTTTCCATATGGCGAAGAAGGTTGGTCACCCCGTTTGAAAATCGGTAACAGGAGAGGGACAACTGTTGAAAATCTTACTGTGAATATGTATTACGCCTATCATATCCATGCCCGTCAGCATATCTGGTTTCCTATTGTAAACTCATCTCGCCTCTTCCAACAATATTTGGTTGCTGCATACACATGTATAGAAGAAAGCCGTTTGGATTACATTGTTAAGCATCAAGGTAATCTTCGGTCTGATTATGTTGGTGGCCTCTATGACGCGCTTTCGAAGGGAGACAGAGAGGCAGGTGCTGTTGGAAAAAGTGTATTCTTACCTGCATCATTTACTGGCGGTCCGCGGTTCATGTATATTCATTATCAAGATGCGCTTTCTATAACGTGAAGTGGCCAGAGATAACACGCTACATGGATACACATTCGCAAACAGATGTCCACAGTCGAGCAGATATCATTGCTAGGGTCTTCAACATCAAAGTTCATGAGTTTGTTCAGTTTCTAAAACAGGACAAAACATTTGGTCAGGTCGAATCATGTATGTTTTCCATTTTCTCTTCCTTTCACGTATGTTTTAAATATGATATGTGTATTTGTCTTGATGCCTTTAGTGTGTTGGTAAATTTGTTTTCCATTCTATGCATAAATACTCAAAATTATAGACTATACTTTTCATACGTAAAGGTATATCTGATTACATGTTTTTGATTAGGTTATGAAATGGTAACCCTGTTATTGTATGGAAATGTTGGAAAAGTCACATATCTTCGAATTTACACAATATGTTCTGATATTGAATATTTGTTATGTTTAAAAAATGGTAGATGGTAGAATATGAAATTACAGATTTGTATGTCATTTTCAAACGGGTTTACTGCTTCTAATATGATATCTCGGCCACCTATAATTATTTTATTTTCCAAAAGCATATTTAATTGAATTTTCGTTGTTTGTTAATATACTACTATCTTTTATATGTTATCTACATTGGTTTCAATGATACTAATGACGATTTCCAAATGTAGCCCTTTGTACATATGTTACCATTTGTCTTTCAACTTTAGTAACGAATGGTTAACATATTTTTTACTATTTGTTTTTAATGTGTTCTTTAATGTTGTTCTCTTATCATTTGGTAGAAATTGAATTTTCCCGTTATTTCCCTGTCATAAAATCTTTTAGTGCATCGTCTCATACGGTTCCGTCCTGATTCATCAACATTTTATTTAACACATACTTTACTCAATCCAGTGAACCTGTTGATGCTTCCAAACATGCCTCTTTATTCATACGTAATAATTTTCAGTTTTTAATTTTTATTTTATTTAATTTTTTTTCGCTCTACCTGTGAGTTTTGTACCATACTATAACAGAGCTACATTAGATTCCATATCTGGCTGGAACATGTCCACTTTTTAATATATTTTTTATTATTATTAGCTTTTTTATCTATATTCCACTAAATGTGGTATGCTTTCAGTTTCTTATCTCTTACAATATCAACTTCAACTTATGCTTAGACACTTACTTAGAAAAAAAAATTGTTAAATGTTAATATTTGGAAAATTGTTCATAATTGCATATTTGTACACTATTGAATTCCAGAAGAGAGGTCTTCCCCATTGTCATACTTTACTCTGGGTAAACAACTCAGAGAGAATAAAAAATGCAATCGATATTGATACATATATTACAGCGGAGTGGCCAGATCCAATTAACGAGCCAGAATTGTACGAGACGATAACAACCTGCATGATCCATGGCCCGTGTGGACCGCTTAACGAAAAAGATCCATGTATGAGAGATGGTAAATGTAGTAAACATTTCCCTAAGCCCTTTCTTCACACTACATTCTTCGACACAGACGGATATGTACGGTACAAACGTAACTCAGCTGCACACCATACTACCCAATATGGACAGGTTATAGACAATGGATATGTTGTGCCCTACAACAAAAGGCTTTGTTCCCGCTTCCATGCACACATCAATGTCGAGTACTGCGGCTGGAACATGATGATTAAGTATCTATTTAAATATATTTCCAAAGGAGCTGACCGCGTAAGATACACTATCCAAAAGGCAAAATCAGCCAATGAACCATCTGCTGCGACACCCGCTGCTGCTCATAACAGGTCCGAAAATGAAGATATCCGTCGTATAAATGAGGTGCAGAACTTTTTGGATGGCCGCTACATATGCCCACACGAAGCAGCATGGCGGATTTTAGACTTCCATATACACCATCGTCACCCGACTGTTCAGATTCTAACTATGCATGAAGAAAACATGCAACAGTTGGTGTTCAATGGAGAGAGCACAATACCCGAAGTGCTATCAAATCCGTACAGCAACATCACTACCCTAATTTGACATATCTAGACTATCCAAAATCTTACAAATGGGAAAAGTCATCTAAGTCATGGAGCCGAAGAATTTATGAGTCATCAAAAATAGTAGGTCGGCTTGTATTCGTACATCCTACATCTGGTGAATTACTTTACTTATGGATGCTCCTCTGACCAAAAGGGATGTACATCATTTGAAGATTTGCGTACCGTAGCTGGTACTGTTTACCCAACTTACTGGGCTGCTTGCAATGCGCTTGGATTGATAGGTGATGATATTGAATGGCTTACCTGTTTCACAGAGGCTTCCATTTGGGCAACCGCATCACAGCTACGATCACTTTTTTGCCATCTACTGCTTTTCTGTGAGGTCAGCAATCCACGTTTACTGTGGGAAAGTGCATGTGACAAAATGAAAGATGACTACGTACATAGCTTTAAAACCCAAATACCAGATAAGAGTGTTGCTTCAGGTGCTGACATAATTGAACAATAGCTACTTCATGATTTAGATGACACCCTCCGTTCCGCCGTCCCATCTAAATCAATGGGAGGCTTTGGCCTTCCAGTTCCATCAGCCGATGTCTTTGGTATTTTACGAAATCGGCTCCTGCCGGAAGAAATGAGCTACGACAAGGAAGGCCTCCTCAACCAGCACAATTAGCTACTACCAAAGCTAAACGGTGACCAACGATCAGTCTACAACACAGTTGTTACTTCCATAGAAAACAAATAACAAATACTAATGTTTGTTTATGGGTACGAGGGTACTGGCAAGACATTCTTATGGACAACCATCCTTTCCTATTTCAGATCCATAGGAAAGATTGTATTTGCTGTTGCTGCTTCTGGAATTGCGTCACTTTTGTTACCTTCTGGAACAACTGCACATTCAAGGTTCAAGATACCTATCGACTTAACGGACAAAAAATCATGTGATATAAAAAAACGCACCTTCCTTGGCGAACTTATGCAGCGTACGACACTCATTATTTGGGATGAAGCGCCAATGAGTGACAGAAGGTGCTTTGAATTTTTGGACCGGTCACTTAGAGATGTACTCGATTGCGATCAGCAGCCATTTGGAGGCATATCGATGCTTCTTGGTGGTGACTTCCGCCAAACTCTTCCTGTTGTACCAAAGAGTACACGTTCGGAAATCATTGCAGTAACTTTACCAAGTTCATACCTATGGCCATATTTCACAATTCAGATTTTACATACAAACATGAGACTAGAATCCTCTAACATAACAACCCAGACTTCAATTTCCACATCAGCCTTTGCCACATGGTTGCTAGCTATAGGAGACGGAGTCATAGGTGTACCAGACAAAGATGACCCACGGGACTCAAGTTGGGTACAAATTCCATCTTCACTCCTAATACCAGCCACTCCAAACTCTCTACAAACGTTGACATATTTTGTTTATGGAGATGGTATGCTTAACAACCCGACTGCCACACACCTTTCAGTAAGAGCAATAGTTTCTCCTACAAATGAGACAGTCGATGACATAAACGCTCACATTTTCAAAATGGTCACAACAAGTGGCAGGACATACAATAGCACAGACATCATGCAACCAAACGGCAAGCACAAATCTGATTGGAAGGGTTGTATCCAATGGAATACCTAAACCAACTAAACTTTCCAGGAATACCACCACACAACCTTACAGTTAAAGTACATTGTCCAATAATGTTGTTAAGAAATATAAACCAGAGGGAAGGTTTATGTAACGGTACCCGACTCATTGTCTCCCAATTGTTACCGAACGTTATTGAAGCAACCATCATAACCGGCACTTGCATTGGAAAACGTGCATATATACCACGCATAAAATTTATACACAAGTCATCAGATTTTCCATTCATATTTTCACGAAAACAGTTTCCAGTGAAAGTTTGCTACGCGATGACTATCAACAAGAGTCAAGGACAATCACTACGTAGAATTGGCATCTATTTGTCACACCCTGTCTTTGCGCACGGACAACTTTATGTAGCACTATCCCGAGCAACCTCTCTAGATTCCATAAAAATACTAATAAAGACCAATGACACAATGGAAGACAATCAAACCAAAAACGTTGTCTTCAAACATTTACTGCAGAAAGTTACTTCAAGAGAGGTCTATAGTATCACTGCCTCTCATACCTTTCGTGAACTCTTTTCCAAAAAGCATTACCACTTTTTGATATCTTTTTTTACTGTTGACTGCTCCAGCATAAATTACATATCTATAGAATTTCCTATTCTTATCCGAATATACCACTGATTTTCACATATTTCTTTGTATTAGAAAACACAAAGAAGTCATGACGAGCATCTCAGAACTGAAGATTGATGGTATTGGAGGACCCCTACAAGTTAGAATACTACGGAAATGGAAACATGATGTCCGGCAATATGAGAGTTGGTACCTAGCTGTCGACAAATTTGTAAGTACTCACAAAAAAATATTACAATAAAACCATGTTCTAAATTTTATACTTTACATTTTGTTTAAATATTAAAAACTATGTTCTTAAGAAAAAGTAAGTTATTTACAGAAACTGCAAATAAAAGTTGTTGCAACAAAATTATTAATAATGATTTTTTTATGTTTATAAAAACACCTAATTAATATATATATATATATATATATATATATATATATGTATATATATATATTAAAGAAATGAATATTCGTAACAGTTAACATCTCATGTCTTTAACAAATGGTACATTTATATATAATATGCCATAATCTGTAAATTATAAATATCTCTGTTTTGTAATAAAAACAAATCTAATGTCAGCTTATTAACACCATCAGTCACGAACTCCATTCATCTAATCTTATAACAATCTGTTTTTACAGGAAGATGCCATACAAATTCTTGGACAGCGAACAAATCAGAGCTACATAGAGTCCATTTTCAATGTTTCACAGTGTTACAGCATATCAGATTACAGCTGCCCTCAATTAGATAAGTATCAAAAATTCCTTGAAAATGCGTTCTATATTGATGTTGGCCTCAAATCTGTCATAGAACCAGTTCCAGACACAATAATCATACCCAAAACCTGGTTTCGCTTCATATCAAAGTCACATCTCATAGAGCTTGGAGAAACACCACCATATTATCCAGGTAGTGATGACACTGACATATCCGATTACATACATGTTCCTTACACGGTTCCATTTACTACTAAACAGATTACATTGGCGTTTTATCAAAGATCAGGGACTGCACTAAAACAAATGGGGAATCATTTGTGTTACTCATACTAACCGATGAAAGGTATACATGGTAATCACCAAACCACACTTATCAGTTTTGTCATAGCTATCTAATACCAAAAATAATTTCAATTTTGTTAGTGGTAGTGAACTTGCAATCAATCTATGGAAAGAATGTATAACTAATCCACAGAAGTTCAACCGTGCCACCTTACATCCACCACTTGCGACAACTGTTGTTGCAGTCACGAACCTGAAACCGTCCATATCTAATGGTACTTTTTTGTAGACGGCCCTGTAAATATAACTCCTATCACTGTCACATCATGTATTGTGATGGTTTTAATCTCCAAATCACTTTTCTATAGGAGCATTACGCCATGGCTCATCACATGTTACACATATCTATGTGAATCCAGAAATACCGGAAACAACAGCTCTCATTAACATGTAAGTCATATAAATTACAAAAAAATCATATATTCCATATGGTAAACATCCCATACTAATAAGAAGATGCCATCAGATTTACAGGACCTTCAAGACCAGTGCCACCACTATCAGGAACACCCTCGACCCTATATGACATGAAGGCCAAAAACAGATCCGATCTCCTGGTAACGTCATGTTAATGATACCTCTATTTACAAATAAGATCTGTTTCACACATCCACAACCAATTGGTTTATATCTACAGGATAAAACATTCATTGTACGGGCTTCAATCAAAGAATTTCACTATCAAAACAGTTGGTTCCAAACAACATGTCTAACATGCAAGGATCCTATCTTCAGAAGGGGTGAAAACTGGTACTGCAGTGCACACGCACTAATTGAAAAGCCGACTTACATGTAAGCATCTTTTCAATTAAACAAAAGATCATTATTCTGTAACAGCGGTCTTTACAAATATTTTCCATCCATAGATACAAGTTCACAGTGACCATCACCGATGCTACGGACACCATATCAGCACTTATATCTTAGACATCATGTCGGAAGCTGCTAAAGTCATCACTTGAAAACTTTATATCTGATAACCCACTCATAAACAGAAACACCCTGCCCTCAATCATCACTAATCACAAAGAACAAACAAAAATGATGTCGATCCAAATGCTTAGAGCATCGACTCCTGACAATATACGTTTCATAATAATAGATATCGAAGACTCAACAACTATGTCTGAAACATCTGTCCCAACAACACCAGCTCCAGCACGAATGACAAGAATGCGACCAAGTGACACAACACCAGACCCGTCGATACCTGTTCAACACGTTGCACGTGCTCTCACCTACGATCCTACAGGTAAACACACACGTAACAAAATAAAATCGAAAAAAAAAATTCCGAAAAACATACTAACAACTTTCAATTCATGTCTGACAGAACCTACGCCAAGAAAAAATGCAAAGCGGACCGTCAAACAGCAAACATCATAGACAAGCACTGCAAAATCTATCTTTTGTTTGGACCAATATCACTATCTTTTATAATATAAACATATCATCATGACCCCCTACTACTGAAAACAATAACAAAAAACTTCCCTTTGCATGAATCCTCTTCTTCTAAATTTGGCAGATGTTTTCATAAAAAAAATAGTAACAATATACATATCCATCCAATAAAAACAATACTGAAAATATACATATCCATCCATCATTGTTTAAATGTATAATAGCCTGCTTAACTTACATACGCAAAGAATCATAAAACCAAACAAAATACAATCCCATGTAATGATCCAGTAATGAATTAATATGTTTTGTTCCATAATCAGTTGTCTCTTATCTGTTGAAAAAGTAAAAGAATATAAACGTAAACAGATAGAGTTCGTTGTGTATTTAAGAAAGATATAAAATAGTTTCAATTGCAGTCAAATACATATCGTCTATTTCGTAAGGGATAAAAATATCACAAATACTTATTTCATTTTTTTTCCTGTATATGAGACCCACTATCAACAACATGGAAACCTTCTAGCCCCCGCGTAGCGGGGGTTAACTTTCTAGTTTTTATTAAGACTTTTTACCGGTTCTTAAAACCGATCTACGACTAAACTTTAAAATATTGGATTTTAGTTTATAATTGATCGTGACTAATGGAAAATAAAATGAAGTTTTATTTGGCACCTAAAGAACCTCATAACAAGTGTTTTATTTCGATGCATGTAATATTCATGAAACTGTGTTTTTATAAATTATAATTGTAAAAAATATATAAAAACTTTTCTAAAAATGCAAGTCATTACCGTCCTTTTGAAGAACACTCGTTATCATTTGTATGGTCTTAATGTCACAGGGTCACTTGGTCATTAGGATTAGATTATGATGTTCGGGGTAGTTTTGTAGTTTCTAGTTTCTAAAGGGTCACCTTGTCAATGGTTACTTACAATACTACAAGTTGTTTTAAGTAGGATGACTTGATCGGAATCTTGTATGATAAAGGTAACCTAAGCATGAGAGGTCTGAGGCATAGATGGGATAAACATGTCAGGTTAAACAATAGTTGTTTAGGATCTCATAATCTAGGAGTTACATGTCACCTACCAAGTTTGATTAAGTTTATGGGATAAATGTCACCTAACCATTTACTTATTTCGTTACTTGGATCCTAGACTTTAAAAAATTAATGTTTTAAGAAACAATAAAACGTATTAATTTTTAAAGACTAAATATTGAAAATACTAAATGAAACTTTGTTAAATTCTTTAATAACTTTTAATACTCTTACGCCCTGCAAAACCTCTCTCTTGTTGAGTTTCAAGAGACAGTAAGTTTTGATGGTTATAATTTCTATAACTGGTATAATACCTTAAGGTTCTTCCTTAAGGATAAACAAAAATTATACATACTAAAAGATCCCATACCTGAACAACCTCTGCAAGCCAGTAAATCTTATCATGAAACTTTTGTGGAAGTATTATTGTGATGATGTTGATGTGTCTCACGTGTCTCACATCATGCTAGAGTAATTAACCTTGACTTGCAGAAAGTCTTGGATAATAATGAAACATATCAGATGTCTCATCAAGTAAAGCAGATATTGTCACAACTAGCAATTGTGGGCTAGGAAATTCTGTCTTATTGTAATCAACTCTAGATGTATCTTGTAGCTTCAAGTTTAAGATTATACATATTACTCATTCAAAAACAACTATTCGAATCAAAACTCACTCATGAAGCCCTAAACCTAATTCAATATACTACATTCACTCGACCTTGGGTTGTAACCCTAACTTCCAAGTTCAAACCTATTATTGGGCCAGGAATCATTTATTGGGCCTAATGGGCCAATAAACTCTCAATTGAATTATTTTGGGCTAAGAATCCTTATTTGGGGCCTAAATGGACCCGCATTCATTAAACTATAACATTTTGGGCCATAAGACTTTTTATGGGCCTTATTGGACCTAAAATGTCTCACATTGTCTCCGTGGGCCTTAATGGGCCGTAAATGGTTTCTTGAACCTTATTGGGCCGAAAACCCATTAACCTTGCTCTTTTTGGCCGTAAACTCTCATAAGAGCCCAAAGGGCCGAAAATCCTTATTGGGCTAACATACTCTTGATTTTTACATGCACAATTTAAGCCCAACACCAAATTTCTTTTCTTTCCCTCCCATTCTCGGTTTAAACATAAAACAAAAAAAGGGAAATAAGTGGAGTTTGATCTAAGCTTGTCAACACATAATTAATCTCCATGTTTCTAGGTAATCACATACTTCTAAGAAGCCATAGTCCTCCATGCAATATAAATTGATCTATCTCCTCTTTTCTCTCTACTTATGGCCGAAGGATCCCACACCCCTCCACACTTCAACCATTTCAATATCTAAACTCCTCAAAGAACTCTCAAAGAAACCTCCCTTTTCCCCCCAAGAAAATCGAGTGTGCTTGCGTGTGAGTCCAAGAATACTCCATCAAGATTCATCCATTTTTGGTAAGCTACTTCCACTCAAGGAGTTTAACTTCATGTTTATGTTAAACTTAGTACTCATCAACTCTTCAAATCGTGATTTATGCATCTTAACTCCCCTAGAATTCGAAGAACTCATCAAGGAAGTAAGCTAGGCCGAAAACAACATCATCTCCTCATATCTCTTCATCAAAACTGATCCTAAACCCCAAAGTGGGTTCATATCCCCTATTTTTGGTTTTTTACTATGTTTTGGGGGAGAATACAAGTAGCTTTGTGTACATCTATGTGTTTATGCATGATTATATGTGTTTTCCATGTTATATGTTGTGCTTATGTGTTTGGAATATCTTAGATTTCTAAAGATCTACTAAAATATGGTGATATTTGTAAACTAAAACACCTTATGAAACTTATGATGAAGATGAAAGGATTAAAACATGTTAAGGGTGTTTGAAACTAAGTAAAAATCATGTAAAGGGCCAAAAATTGACAAAGTAAACAAAAGTGAGGATTTTTTTGTCAACTCACGATTTTAATAGAACTAAAAGAGTCATTTTAAATAAAAATGGGTCTTTATGATGTTCATAGTTTAAAGAGGGCCAAAACTATAAATTTTCACAAAATGGGCCTCAAATTGGGCCTTCACGGTTTCATGGGCTAAATTTGTAAATTTTTGGCTTTTATGAATTAAATTGTCATTTGAATCAAATGTGTGCCAAAAAATATAAATTTTTGGTTAAATGGGCTGAAAATGAAAATTTTATTAAACTTGGGCTAAAAAAGGTTAATTTTTGGGCATTTGGGCCGAAAATGTCAACTTTTATAAAATTGGGTCGAAAATGACAATTCTAACAAAAGTGGGCTAAAATGTTATTTTATTTTGAAATAAGCCCTTAAATGTAAACTTTGGTCTTAAGGGACTTAAAGCGTCATTTTACCAATAATGTGCCTTAATTGTAAATTTTCGGTTCTATGGACCAAAAATGGCTTTTTACAAAAAGTGGGCATTTTTATGTCATTTTGGTAAACAATTGAGTTTAAATGATCAACGTAATAAGAAACGGAACAAATACGTCATTTACACTTTTAATTGGGTCGAAAAATACCTTACATGCTTATTGGGCCTTAGTGGCCCATTTGCATGCTTAAGTGGGCCTGGAATACACACTGCATGTCTATTGGGCCCTTGTGGTTCAATTACATGCTTATTGGGTCTGGAATATAAATTAAATGTTGTTTGGGCCTTTGTGGCCCATTTACATGCTTATTGGGCCTAATAAACTAAAAACATACACAGAAACAATATACACTGTGCAATTCAATATTCGCGTAAATTCAATTAAGAATCTTGTGAGACATTTCGTTTGTTCACACCTATCTAGTGTACAACCGTAGCCTGTAGTTATAACCAAAGTCTCCTGGAGGGAGAGCGAGAGTTTGTGTATAGATCTATACGGGGTTGACACCCCACACCTGAGCTGTTCGCTACAGTCACCCTAGGCCAGTCTAGGGTGACAAACCATACCTTAAACAAGTCGGCGTCTGAAAAACGTCATGACGGACGGACCAGTCATTATCAAGTATGGTTATAACGACTCACAAAGAAATTAACTCCACTATAAAATTTACGGAATACATAAACGTTTCTACAATTACAATTCTATACAAATACCAACTCACGGTCTTTGGGTTTTTAATACTACCACACTTTTACAAGCAGAAAATATCGGATTTTCTGGGAAAAATGTACATTATACGTCACCTTCTACCAACAAGAAAACATCAGATTTTCTGGAATACTATTTTTATACATTTTTCAAAACAGGAAACACACATGCATTAATACATGACTTGATACAATACTTTCAACCATTTTACAGAAAATATCAGATTTTCTGGTGTTTACAAATTTATACAAAACTTTTCATACAAACATGCTTATGAACTCACCAACATTATATATGTTGACGTTTTCAAAATAACTTGTATTCTCAGGAAATCGCGAAGCAGATGGGCATCAAGAATATGTGGAAATTTGTTGCATTTTCTTGCTATTATAAACCTTTATATTTTGGGATGTAACTCTTGTAAACAATTAGAATGATGTAAACTCAGTATTGTTGTATTATTTTACGTGTGATGATGATGCTTGCCTTGTTTCTATTATATTCACTATGATGATATTACAAGATGAAGTCACCCAACCCCTGGACGTTTCCGCCGTCTGGTTCGGGGGTGTGACAAATTGGTATCAGAGCATTGTTTATAGTGAACTGGCATATCTAATCATACCAGATATGCAACTATAAATACAATGAGACTAAACTACTCTGGACAAAATAATTAAAATACATACCTATGTGTGCATCATTACAATAAAAATAAGAGTTTTGGAGGAATTGAACATCGTGGTTAAACCCGGACAGTTATGTAGTCGTATTGGGGATAAATATAGCCTGATCAACTATATTTATTCAAAATACGACCAACATGTGTTTGGGAGTGATCATGGTGGGCAA